TCCAGTATGCCATCAGGCACATCTTTCTGTTTAATTCTTTTTTGCATGTTATCTAATATTTTATTATTTTCTTCCAAAGAAAGTGCTTTTGTTTTTTTGTTTTTCTGCATTTTTTCTCGTAAACTGAAAAAGAAATAAACTGTAGAGTAATAACATCAAAACAAAACCTTAACTAAGGATTAAAATTAGTGTTGCCAGTTGAACTAGACAACAACTTATAAGTAATAGACTGGCAAAGTTGTGTAGTTTCCTGAAGTTGCCACCAACCTTGGCAACTATTACTATGACAGGCAAAAAGCTGCATGTTTCATTTATATCAACTGACCAATTTATTTGTTTTTTTGTTCCAAAACTGTAAAAATCTTCTATATTAATATTTTTATCATCTTATTATTTTATCATCAATATTAATCTAATAAGATTAATATTGATGATATTGATTAATAAGATTAATATTGATGATAATCTTATTATCAATATTAATCTTATTAATCAATATTTATCTTATTAATCTAATAAGATTAATATTGATGATAAAATAATAAGATGATAAAAATATTAATATAGAAGATTTTTACGTTTTTTTAAGATAACATAATCTGTGATTCTTTTTTAGTTGAAAGATTTTAAAGAAATAATTATATTTAACTTGTTCATAATTAAGAAAAAGCTGCAACTAAGAAATAAAATACAATATACAGGGTGTCCACAAAGTCTGGGTACATAAGGATTAACACATACTTTTAAACCAAAATAATTTTATTTGATTCTAATATTAATAAATAACATTTTCAATATGATTTCCATCACTTTCAATACATAATTTGATGCGCCTTGCAAAATTCAGGTGAACTCGATTAAATAGGTCTGTATTGCCATCGAGTTCAGCACACTGACTGATAATGGTGTCCACAAATTATGGCACATCAAATGTAATGTTATTTATTAATATTAGAATCAAATAAAATTATTTTGTTTTAAAAGTATGTGTTAATCCTTATGTACCCAGACTTTGTGGACACCCTGTATATTAAAGCACAGTTTTGATAACAAAGCTATAACTGTGCTTTAATACATTCTATCGTGTTGTTCTTTCTTAACTTAGTAGTTTATTGCTAAATGAATTATAAAATGATAAACAGCCTCTGGTAATAAACTAAATAAACACTATTAAAGAGAAGAGTGTAAATAAAAAAACCTTGAAAGTTTTGTGCAATGTAATCATCATAAGAAATACATTACAGCATACAATTTGAATTATTTCTTTTAGCAGAAAACAGGGATTTAAAAAGGAAGAAAAAACTTCGTGACAGAGATTAACAAACCATTCCAACAATTTCATGTAAACAGCTTTCAGTAATATAAGCCATAACAGCAACAATACATTGAAATACAAATACATATAGTTCAGTATGGTCTTACAGCACTACTTCTATGCTGTAAAGAGTATAAGTGACTTACATCATTTATTCTTGCTGAGAAATACACTGTAAAATGAACTTACCTAATAAAGAATAATGTGCTTCTGCTTGAAATTCAGTAGCAATAAATAAATGAACTTCTATTTAAATATTTAAAGTCAGTCTCTTGAAAATGAACTGAACGAATGTAGTTTCTAGCTGTATGCATTCATACATCTTTTCTCATTGCAGTAACCCACTTTTTTGCCAACTCTCCATTGCTAAATGGAAATTAATATAACACAGTAAATAAAACAAATGAAATATTTGATGTCTTAAAACTTTCCTATAATGTGTAGCGAAACTCCCTTATAAAATATGACAGTAATTTCTAAGGTAAATGCTAACAAATATACAATCTGCTTAACAAAAACACAGGACTCTAATGATAAGAATGCACTTTTTATCTTTCACAGCAATGGAGGCCATTGGCTTCAAATGGTGGTGCTGTAATTGGTATCTTTGCCAATCTATTACTTAGGTCATTGGAACTAGATATTAAAATTAATGTTGCCAGACTGTTTGACATAATAATCATAATTTACTAGAAATGAATGAATGAAATTTTATGCAGAATTTATGCATTTATAGATTTCATTATAATGAAACTATTCTTTCATAATGTAGTTTCATAATTTCAGTTTAATGTAATAATATTCATTATTACATTAAACTGAAATTTTCGTTATAATGGTATTTGTTAAACTGAAACATTTTTGCATTGAGCCGAATAGGAAATTGGCAGGGGATTCAAGATATATTTGTTATACCAAAAATCCCATTAAACTGTTGTTTGTTATATTAACATTTCACCTTATATGCAAAATCATGGCAGTTCTACATCAGTTCAACTAATGCATGCCATGCTATAGAGAGTGAGTCATTCTCTTTAAAATTAATTGCTTTGCTTTTCTTAATTGCCTTATAAATCTCAAAGGCTTTGTTGTTTCAATCATACCCAGTCCATTGTGTGTGATGTAATATATTATCATCATAAAGGTTAACATGAACACCTCCCAGTCCCACATATGCAACTAGTGTTGTGTTGGTCATTTTCTTTTTTGATATTATATTGGTGTTCTTTAATTGTCATAGCTAGATTACTGGTCATGGTGCAATATAAAAAAGTGATCTGTCCACCCTTTGGTCAAATAACAGGATAGAGTAAACACTGGCTGGAACTTATTATCAACCATGTCTGTCATTTCTTATGACTGAAAAGATATGAGGAGGTCTCCTATAAGTAATCATAACCCTGGATCCTTCTAGCAACTTCTCTATATATATATATTAGATGCGAACACTCACAAAGTTACTTACATGCAAATTACATGTGTCCTTGAGACTATTTTGTTGTTATTCCAAAGACTTAATAAGGCCCAGCAATGGATGTCTGTCAGTTTATATTTGAGAATACTTGATGATCATTGTAGATGAAAGAAAGAAAACATTCATAGCATAAAATATTTTTGTTTTTTTTTTACTAGTTTCTTAGGTGATTTTTGTGATTTCATATTTATACCAATCTTTTGAAATACAATAGAACTCCAATAATTCAGACTAATTGAGGAAGAGCATAGTCTGAATTAACAACTTGTCTGGTAATATGTATTGTATGGTCAAAAATTACATTTAAAGTCAAATATTGTTGTGCACCCTAAATGGACAAATATGGTCAGCTGATAAACTTTTATAATACAGTAGTAGTTGCATCAATCTTGACATTGCCAAAATTTACTAATTTGGGCTTAAAAATAACTTAATTTTTGTTTGTGAATCCTTTTCTAACTGTTCCTTTATCAAATCTTGATGCATCTAAAAATAAAGTAACAGTTGTTAAAGCCCAGATTAGAATTGACAAATTCATTATTTAAAAAAAAAATACACAATTCAAAAAAAATACAAAATAGTAGTCTGAATTATCACAAATTCCAAATTAGTGGAGTTCAAATTAGCAAGGTTTTACTGTAGTTTTAGAACCATTGGAACAAATATGTATTATTTAAAAGCTGCTTGAGAATTTCAATGGAGATAACTATAATATGATGTTTATAGATTTTGACATATTGAGAAAGAAAATAATAGATTCTGTAATATATTTTTACTCATTGATTACCTGATTCATATTTTAAAACAGTTTCACTTATAATATTGGAAATACTGTAGATATATTGAAAACATAGATTACAAAATTTAGAAGCATTTGTATTACTAGTGCAACAAGTGAATGGTAATTTAAACTAAACAATATTTGACAAAAAAAGTGATTTCTTACAAATTTTGAAATCTGGAAATTAAATCAATGCTTAGTTATTCACTTTTCCACTGCTGGAAAAGTGCATAGGTGATTCTTTTAGTAGTGATTTCTTATTACAATCATTATTAATTAAGATGTATTATTATTATTATTATTGTTAGAGATATATTTAATTATATCTTAATTAAATACTTTATTATAGTTAAATACATATAGTTTATACAGTTGAGTCTGCTTAAGAGAGCATCCAAAGGATTGCCCATTCGTATTCAATTCTCTCCACTTTTTCATGTCTTAGGAGCTCTAACTTATAACACACTTGAAAATATTAAAATTTATTATCACATAATTTACCATAATTTACATATTGGATTCCATTCTTTTATTAATTGTCATTTTATCGAATAATTGGTAAATATAGTATATTTACTAGTCACATTACTTTCACTTCCAAGAGATGCAGTAGGTAGCTAAAAAGATATGAACATCCTTGCTGCAAAATTACTGTTGTTCTCTAATGGGACATCCAGTATAAAACAAGTAAGTACAGTACTAGCTTAAAGTAAAGTCGTGACCTCCAAAATTTGGTCACTGATCACTTCATTTCCTATCCCTTCAAGATGAGGACATAAGTGTGATCGGCACTGTTTGTTCATATATATTATATTTTATGATACTTTTTTAGTATGTAATTGCTTCTCATGTGTGTGTTCATTATGATTCTGTGAGTAATCTTTTGATTGTTTATTAGAAAACTGACCAATGGAAAATTTCTACAAATCTTAAAAAATATTAGTTTAAAAAGTCCTGTCTCTGCATCCTAGATAGTAATGCACTGTAAGAATAAAATAGACCCTTGTAAAATATTTTTTTGAATACTTTCTTACAAGGAATGCTGCTGACACTACACTCATTTAAACCAACTACTCTACTGTCTGATGCTCTGTTAATGGAAGTCCTGCTAATATAAATAAAATGGGAGAAAAATCAGGAGCATGGAAGAGTGCTCTCTTAAGCAAACTACTCCCTTATCTGATGCTTTGTTAAGTGGATTTGACTGTTTATATATATATGAATTAATTAAATGAGAAAAGTAAATAAACATACTTTTTCTATAATTTTTGAGAGTTTTAAATAAAACTTCAAACAAATACAGGCTTAAATAACAACAAATTAGTCTTTTTATATATATTTGATAATACTATAATATGCTTTTAAATTAGCTTTTCTAATAAAGGAAAAAGAAACAAAACTTATTTCTGTTAATAATGTTTCATGTATAGATACCCAACAAAAACAAAAAAACCAAAAAAGCCAGGAAAAAACGTAAAAAGTAACTTTAAAGTGAACGTATTCAGCAGTATTAAACAACCATCATCAGGTTAAATGGAACATTTGAAAGTTGAAGGCAAAATCGAATAGAATATTTTAAGTTACAAATGTCTGCCTATGATTGGACTGTGGTGGTGGTGGTGATTCACAAAAACTAACAGCTGTTTTTATTCGATCGCATATAAAGCTCTCCAGGCTCGTGACGACATGTTGTCATCTTTGTAATTAATAGCCAAATCATTCCTGCAAGCCTTATAGATTTCTAACTTTTATAAGTGCTTGATGTCGGACAAATGAAGTTGTAAAAAGTTTCATGTAAAGTTGTACTGAAGTTGTAAAATTAATGTTTCATGTATTTAATCATTTATTGTGTTCAAGAGATGTGTATTGTATTTCTGATATGTTGTTTTGTTTTTACAGTTTGGTTTTTCTGCAATTGGCTTGGTGCCAAGAAATTGGGTTCTGAATTCATAATTTTTCTAATGGAAGAACAAGATTTTTCATTTCTCCCTTGTATGATAACAACAGTGTTAGAACAGCTATGCCATTTAGACATTTTTGTGGCATATTCACTACTATTTTTTACATTAGAGAAATATTTACTTTTTATATGCAGAACTTAATTTCTCAGTGACCAATACATAAACATATTTATTTCATAAAATCAATAACAGATACCAATTGATAATCACTGATTGAAATTCATATATATAATTAGATGTCAAGCATAGTAAACATAAATTCAAAAATAAAATAAAATGAAAAATAAACTTTGTTTGGGTATGGACAATTTGTTGGAAACAAAAATATTTTACAAGTAGCATTAGATGTATGGCTTAACTAGTGCATGAGAAAAGATGTAAATTTAATTCAAAAGAATTTTTTATGGCTAGTATGTAATGATGATTGACTATTTCAGTGTTTTTGACGTAATATGTGGCTTATGCATGTGTAATATTTGGCTAATGTACTTAAGAATAAATGTGATTAAATTGTATAGAAATACATCTCTTCACAAAATGAAGGTTGTATTAGCATTCAAGATTTTATGCAATGATTTTCTTTTGAAAATCTAAAATGCCTAAGGCATTGTTTAATAAATATTTTTATTAAATGTGTTCATTTTCTATCAGATTTATTTCTAACTTATTTGTCTTATAACCTATATGTTAATCAGCAGCAACAATTTTTAATATTAGTGATGGGCACTATCAAATATTAACATGAAACATGTTTATGCTAAATTAATAAATTTCTTTATTTTTAATATCATTTATTTATAGCTAAAGAAATTTTACAATATTAATTTTACTATTTATATCAAATTATTGATTTATGAATTAAACAGAAAGAACATTGTTGAAAATAGTAATTTAATATTCTAATTAATTGAGGAAACAAAATTATACTATACAATATTTGTGATTCAACAAGTTGCATATCCATATAGGAGTTAAAGAACACTATTCCTATTCCAATTTCATTCCTTAATGTTTTGATTATTTTATTTTTATTTTATTTTTTTAATTATATAGAAGAGTTATTCAAAAATTCTGGTTATATTTAGGTTCATCTATGCTTGAAATAATTTTATGTGAATTGTATTTTACATGGGATAGACACATACAGTACTTTCCATTAATATTTGGAAGATAGTAGTTTAAATTGCACAAATATATGATAGATATGAAAAAAATGAAACAGTTGCATTTGTTTCATGGCTGTCTGTTTGTCTGTCTGTCATATATTAGTGCAATTTAAATTATATGTATGTTTTATAAAAAAATTTATAAAATTCTTGTATGTAAAATGTTTGAAATGGGAATGCTTTTAACTTGCAAATTTTAATCACAATTGTTTTTATACATTTAAAATCTGTCTTACAATTGTTGTTACTACATCTTGTAAATTGCATAAACAAATGGAAAACAAATATAAGTACTTTATACTTTATTAACATTAAATAATATAAAATAGGATTGACAAAGCATACACAAATATTCACTGAAAAAAAGAAAACTCCAATTTTTGCTGTTAAGTAAATGATATTTTTAATAAATCAAATGCTTTTGATATTTGATTTAAAATACTGTTTATTTAACACCAAAAATCTGCAGCAATTTTTTTTTTTTGAATAATTGAAATAATATAAATGTTATCTTAAAAGATGATATTACACAGCAAGAAATTTTTTAAAACTAAATGCAAATATAACATGTAAAATTACAGGGAGAGATTTAAAAATTTATATATAACTGTTATTAATGTTAAACAATCAATCTGTGAAATTATAATTTCAGTTTTTATTTTTCTAACTATAAATTTATTAGAAAAATATATTAATATCCTTTTCTCAGTGCAAAAAGAAACAAAATAATGCATTTTTATACAATGTGAATGAGTTTTAATCAATAAACACAATAGTTTATATTGCTTTCTTCAGCTTTTACTAATGAATAAACTTATTCGATAGCTCATTTCATTAGATAGTGCCCTTCACTAATTAATAGCTAATTGTCAAATGTTTTTGTTTTATATGATTTATTTGTCCAGAGATTAAACTAATTATATTATGTTGCTGTCACTTTTAAAATATGTATTATTTTGAGTAAGACAATTTTTAATGAATGATTATGATGTATGATTTCTTTATATAACGTTTTGTCTTGAACCAAAATAAAATATTGGTTATATTTAAAATAATATGAAAAGTATTTTCAAAGTAGTACTTCAAGATGTTGAGCCACTTTTGATATATTTAAAACATAGTGAAATTTACATATTTATAATTAGCTACATATTGTTATGTTTGTCATATTGCAGTTTGTGTAATTTTTGAAAATGCAAGTAATTTATCTATAATGATGCACCTTAGTAAAAATATACGTTAGAGATTTTTTCAGTTTCCTTTTAAAATTGTACAGCAATTATAATTGTAATTATCAATTAAAATGATTATTTCAGTCATTTGCATAAAAATTTAAATACAGTAATCCCTTCTATGTTTGTGATATTGTAATTTTTAAAAGCATTTTGAATACTGAATTTAATTTTGAACTTAGTCACTTATAGCAAAAATAGGTTCTTAAACATCAAGAGTATTACTTTCTAATGTTTGAATTGAAATATAAAAATTATTAATTTTTATTACATACTGTTTTGTAATGCAGATTAATAAATCAGCATACAAAAAGTATCCAATGCTTTATTGGAGTAAAGAATTTTAAAAATTACAAGCCTTCAAATATTTCTCTCTATATCTAGAAGGTTTTCAAACAAAACGTATTAAAACATACAATGCTGATTTTTTTTTTAAATTTCAGTAAGTCAAAATTACTGTTACTGGGTCATTATGACTAGCCTTTAACAACAACTGCAGGGATATCTAAAACTCATTGTGCACCTATATTACAAATAATATATAGTAATGTATAGTATATACTGACTTTTTGATCATTGTATAAATCTACACTTAGTTTATATATAAATAGATTCATTTCTTTTATGTTTCTATTTTGATAACCACTGAAAGGGGTTTTGGATGAATAAAACAAATTTGTTATATCCTTCAAATATGATGTTCACCTGAGGTTAAGAATCAGTCAGAAGGCATTTTAATTCACAGATCTTTGAATTAAAATTGCCTTCTGAATGATTCTTGATCACAGATGAACATCTCATTTGAAAGATATAACAAATTTGTTTTATTCATTCAAAACTCCACTTCAGTGGTTATCAAAATAAGTGATTATATTTGGTAAGTATTGCTATTTTTTCTTTAATATTAAACTCTTTTAAGTTCATTGTTTCCTCATCTATATTAAATTTGTCTTTTTTCTTGTTAACTTTGTTTAATAAGTCATTTCTATAGGATAATCAATACTTTTCCTTTCTTCTCATTGCCTTTGTTTTAGAATTCTTAATAAATTTACATTTATAGTTTAAATTTGATTAACTAAACCATAAATCACAACTAAGAATATGCAGTACTCAAATATGTCTTTAATTACCATAATATTTATCCTTTAGCCAAATTTTCTCATCTGATGGAATTTAAAATTTGAATACTATCAGCACTTTAACTGCACTTGTTTTAAAATACAACAATATCTGTTTTAATACAAAATCAATATAACTTTCCACAAATTGAGATAATATTACAAAATGATTGTCTTGAATAAAACTGCCATAAAAAATTTTAATTTAACATAATATAAAGAAAATAAAAATTTTTTCCTCTCAATTAAATTACTTTGTAATGTCTTCTAACAGTACACAAATCTCATTTAAGAAGTTAGCATTCTAACTAACTATGAAACATTTTTGTCAATCTAGCAACCATATTAAACCAAAAAATTATTGGAATTTCATAATAAAAATGTTTTATTGCTAAAGTTAGCATTGAAGTTGATTTTAAAAAATGTTTTAAAATTAGCTAACAACTTAACTTTGAATAGTATTACAGTAGTATATATTGGTTTATTAGAATTTAAAACCTTTGCTAGTTACTGAAAATCAAACGATAATTGAATTTATTGTTATTTTTTACAGAATTTCCTACGAAATTGATGAAATATAATTTATTTTTGAGTTTTGTCTTTTTATCACATTTAAAAACATTTGGTAAAATAATCTTGTAAATATCAATTTTTAAAAAATGAAAACACAAACTTTAAAAATAACACTTTGAGGCCATAATGAATTACCATTTCATCTTGATGTCACTAATTGACATCAAGATGAAATGGTAATTCATTATGGCATCAAAAGAGGAACAGATTTTTAAAAAGCCATGTATAGTAAATAAGTGAATTTCGAATAAATTACTAGAAATTCTATAACCAAATTCATAAACTAACTTTGCAAATATAGAGGGTTTACTGTATTATTAATTTTATATTATTTTTTTATTCTGGTTAAATTGAACTATACACCTATGAATATTGTTATAATGTTAAAACCTTGTATAATTAAATGAATAAAAAATAAAAAGTTTTCACTTCTGTTTGTTTATTGCTTTCACATTTTTAGTTTGAGTCATGAAATTTGTTAACTATTAACATTGTCAAATATTTATGTAAAAATTTGTTTTTATGAACAAAAACATATTTATTATGATCAGAATATTGTTTTATCAATAACCCAATTAATCCTTGTGCAATATGAAAAGTTTTTTAATAGCTATTTTACATTTTGTTTAAGAAATATAAAAATTTTATGCTCTAGATTGAGATGTAAATTGTTTTTATATTTCACTTGCAGTGAGAAGAGAAATATAAAAAATAATAAAATAGAAATTACAATAGAATTATGTTAGTACAAAAATTTATAAAGAAACACTAGTTCTTTTGCTTTTATTTAAAATGAAAAATACCTTCAGGTTATAACAGATTCCATAGAAAATTACGAGTATTTTAGAATAGAATAATTGTTAACTATATATATAAGTATAATGCACACACTAATATATAATATATATATATATATATATCCTATATTGATGATTTGACAGATAACAACTTATCCTTTATTTACATTATTGTTTTATTTAAGATAGTTACAATATGTAGGTCAAATGCTATAATCAGTATCAGTTTTTCTATGACCACTTTTTGTTTTTTTACTTAATGCATTAAATTTATACATATTAATATAATTTAAAAGCTTTTGTAAATGTGTTAATCCTTTTTTGTAATTCGTTTAAAAAAATAACAACATCGTTTAAAAATTTGAATTTTCATAATAGCTTTATTTTAAAAAAAAATAACCCCCAATGAACTCAAAACGGTTAAATGACATGTAGGCTGATTTACTGTTGCTATTTTAACATCGAATCCAGTAAAGCAGCCCACTTTTTATTTGATTGATATCTTGAGTTCATTGGATTTTGCTACGCTTACTATAAAAATCTTTCTTTTTTAACTTGTGTTATTTTGAATTTATTTTCGAATCTGTTAACGAAAAATGTCTCATAAAAGGCGAAAACACACTCTTTTTAACGACTTTTAGGAATATTTTGATGTTTAATGTCGCTTTAAGTCCATCCACCAGACGTATTGTCATAAATGCCACATCGTAAGCTACGCTTGCTTGCAGCAACCCATGATTTTAAATGCATATTTGTACCCGAAACTGAAGAGTCCACAAACGTCTAGAACAGTGTTTTTCAACCTTTTTTTTATCTCATGGCGCACTTGAACCTATAATTAAA